GGGAGAGCCCCCCCCCGCACTGCACCACAGCGGATGGGACCCAAGCCGCGGAGGTAAGCCCCCGCACAGACACGATGGACGAGCAGGGTGAGGAAGTAGCCCAGGGCGGGCAAAGGGAGCCTGCGGGCTGGTGCGTTTCGGCAGACGCCCCGCCAGTCGGACCGGACGCCACAAGTGTTCCGAGTCCTTAGGGCCCTGGGCTGGGATCCGTGAGAGTGAGTGGGCCTGGAACCCCCTCTCCCTGTTACGAGAGGTAAGCCCCCGCACAGACACGATGGACGAGCAGGGTGAGGAAGTAGCCCAGGGCGGGCAAAGGGAGCCTGCGGGCTGGTGCGTTTCGGCAGACGCCCCGCCAGTCGGACCGGACGCCACAAGTGTTCCGAGTCCTTAGGGCCCTGGGCTGGGATCCGTGAGAGTGAGTGGGCCTGGAACCCCCTCTCCCTGTTACGAGAGTTCAGGAGGCCTCTATCTGAGAAGAGACCCCGTGGGTTAAGACTGTGACTGGCTAAGAATGCCAAATGGTGGTCTACAGGGTGAGGGGAGCACAGTACTGGGGGAGCGAGCGTGGGGTGCCCTTCGGGGACCCCGAAAGACTTTTCTACACCAACCTAAACCTTCCTTGCTGCAATTTAAGCCCATTGCTTCTTGTCCTGTCATCAGAGGTTAAGGAGAATAATTTCCCCCCTTTCTCCTTGTAACACTCTCTTAGGTATTTGAAAGTGGCTGTCATAGTCCCCCCTCAGTTTTTTTGTCTCCAAACTAAACAAACTCATTTTTTTCAGTCTTCCCTCATAGCTCATGTTTTCTAGACATTTAATCATTTTGTTGCGCTTCTCTGGACCCTCTCCAATTTCTCCACATCTTTCCTGAAATGTTTGCCCAGAACTGGACACAATACCCTAGCTGAGTCCTAATCAGCACAGAGTGGAGAGGAAGAATGACTTCTCATGTCTTGCTCACAAAACTCCTGTTAATGCAGCCCAGAACACTCTCGTTAATGCATCCCAGAGGAAACCAGAGGGATTCTCCCCCTTCAGTGTGCCCATCATTTCTGTTAAGTGCATCTGAAATAATCTTGTTTCTAATAAAATCAGTTGTCTCACTAGTGGATGACTAAATGCTATGCTCAACACACTGGAGTAGTCTTGCAGCTTGTGTAGTCATATATATCTATGCAAAATACATGTAAAATTATAGCTATTATGAACTGGTCGAATTTTACACCCTCTTTGCATATAAGTAAATAACTACACGAGGTGCCAGATATTGGAGAATAAAATTCTATTACCAGATACATAATAATCTTCTTCCTGTGTTTCTGTGATAAATGGTCTCTAATTTATTTTCCTCAATTCAGGTTTTTTTTTCCATTCTTTGCCATGGGCTTTTGTTGTTCAAAGATCTTTTTCCAGATCTCAGTTTTCTGCCTTCCTCATGGCTACTTGCTTTTAAATATTCTAAAAACAATGAGTAGTTCTGTGGCATCTTAGGGTATGTCTACACTACCCTCCTATTTCGAAATAGGAGGGTAATGTAGGCATACCGCAATTGCAAATGAAGCCCGGGATTTGAATTTCCTGGGCTTCATTTGCATAAGCCGGGCGCCGCCATTTTAAAATCCCGGCTGCTTCCTAGTTCAAACTACCATTACTCCTCGGGAATGAGGATTTTAAAATGGCGGCACCCGGCTTATGCACATGAAGCCCGGGAAATTCAAATCCCGGGCTTCATTTGCAAGTGCGGTATGCCTACATTCCCCCGCTAGTTCGAACTAGCATGCCGCGTGTAGCCGGGCGGCACGGGGTTCGAACGAGCGGGGATTTAAAAATGGCGGCGCCCCGCTTATGCAAATGAAGCCCGGGAAATTCAAATCCCGGGCTTCATTTGCAATTGCGGTATGCCTACATTACCCCGCTAGTTCGAACTAGCGTGGTAGTGTAGACATACCCTTTGAGACTAACAACAATATACATAGTATCATGAGCATTTGTGGGCAAAACTCAATTCATCAGATGATGAGCTGGAGTCTACTCATTGTTTTTAAAGTTACAGACTAACACGTCTGCTCCTTTGAGACTTAAATATCCTAGTTTGCTTCACCATTAGTGCAGATCTCAAAGGTTTGACCATACATTCACCACTTGAATCTAGAAATCAAGACTTTTCAATTAGTAAGGTCCATCAGTAATTCTTTTTGTCTATGGAGTTCATCTTCTTTAGGGGCAATAGTTGCAGAGCTTCAAATTGGTTATGACTCATCAGATAACCAGGCAGTGTTTGTCTTTCTTTCAATTTGTGTTTCTTTCCCTCTTCCCCCACAATCTGATTTTGTCTGTTCACTGGATTCAATTTTCTCATGCTTTATAATCTTTTTGATATTCAAACCATTTCATGAGGAATCTGGAAGAGGACAGAACACATCCTCAGAAAGCCCACTTACATGGCTGGGTACATGGGTTATTTTTTCATCTGACAATTTCATAGGAAGCTTCAGGGGGTAGCCAAGTTAGTCTGTAGAGAAAAAAACAACAAATGCTCTGGCAGCACTTTATAGACTAACAAAACATGTAGATGGTATCATGAGCTTTCGAAAGCTCTTGATACCATCTACATGTTTTGTTAGTCTATGAATTTCATCCCAGAAATTCTTCCCTTATACCTTCCTAAGAATGGTATCCTGGTAGATCATGCACCTTCCAAAAGAGCTTAACAGAAAGCTGTCATTCACAATAATTTCTCCCAGGGTGTCTTAAAGTACAGTAGAACAGAATTTGGATCACTTTCAAGTCCATAAAAGCAGTTTCTTAATGCAAAAGTCTGTTCTTGAGAAAAAGAGAAGTGGATTTCATGAAACATAATGGGTCTTTAGCTTCCGTGCTTGCTTTTTTTCTTGAACAAAACCGCTTTACCATGAGACCCTGAGCAATATTTGTAAGGATTGTGCACAAGTTCTGTGTCCTTCTTAGGAGCCACAACTGTCAATTTTTGATCAGCCTTACTTGAAATAATTGGTTATGTCTTCACAGGAACTTAGGAATTACAATATTAGATCAGACCAGTGATCCATATAGTTCACTGTCTGACTGTGACCAGCATGAGATGCCTTAGAAGAAGGTGCAACAAACCCTGTAAGAGACAGTAATGAAATAACCCTCCCAGAGGATATTGTTTCTTGACCTCTGAAGCTTTAAGCATGTAAGGGATAGAGAGGAGGCCCTGTACACCCAATGAAAACAATAAAATATTCAATTTAACCATGGTTGCTCTCACTACATTTTTTTAAATCCTACTTAGTGCTTGGACTCCAGGATTTTGTGGCAATGAGTTTAACAGGTAAATTATGTATTGTGTGCAGTATTATTTGCTTCTATCCATTTTAAATTTGTTGCCTGTCAATTTTGTTCAATAGCTCCTTGTGTATTAGGAAAGAATCGGTCTGAGTTTCTGATTTACGGTTTCTGTTCTAGTCCTTGTTTGACATACCATCCTCATTTTATAAAAACTAATTGGTTACTTTGCATGAAGGAAGCCTAATTCTGTTCTCCCTTCCACTCCAGGAAATCAGGAATAACTTCATTTAAGTTGGTAGAATATTACTGTTGCAAAACTACTCTGCGTGCTGTCAGGATAGGATCAGACTTGCTTCTTCCCAGAGACCAGGACAACTACTCAAACTACATTAATTTCTTGGTTTGGGACCCAGACTTGAAGAAATTGTTTTCTTACTTCTCTTGCTACATGCTTATCTTCAAGCCCTAATGTTAGGGGCTTATCAGAGACTCTTACCAATTATCTTTCAAGGAGCTTTCCCCACTCTGAGGTGGAAAAAGCTCCTGATCCTGTCCAAATATATTTCCTTAAATATCAGTGTCTATGCATTAACACGTTAGCTGTCTGCCTCAGCATGAATCACTGTGTTATAGATGATCTCAATAAGATGCTTATGGTTTTAGTTGTGACATTTGTTCTGCTTAATTGAAATAATTTGAAAACCTTCTAAAATTAGATTTTATTACCCATTAATACCTGGGACATTCCTTCTTCAATTATTTATGTGCCTTACAAGTTATTTCCACATTCCTCCTAAATTTATTGTTATAAAATATGGCTATTTTTGTGTGTTCACATAATAATGTGCCCTTCATCTGAGATGAAATCCTTGTTTTCTTGCTTTCTATAAAAAATATTTCCAAAGTGCTATAGAATGCATAGGGTTTACTTGAAACACATTGGGTCATTTCAATCTCTTTTTTGTATCTGCATTATTCCTTTGCTGCAAGAATAATTTCTATTAAAATGTCTTCCTTCATATTGTAGCCTGCTCATTGTTGTAACTAATCTAATGTTTTGTGCTAGTTGAGTGAACAATGGATTATAAACGCAGCTGTATTGTTCTGATTTAATACACAGGCCGCATTATGTTCTTGTTCCAACTCTCCGAAATCACTGAGGTTTAATGTGTGAAATAGAGCCAGACTGTGCCCAAATAGCTTAGCTTACCAGTAGGTGAGCACTCTAACACAATCTACCTTCTCAAAGAGTTTACATTAGAATTGAAAGTGGAACAAAAGAGAAAACGGAAGCAAGGGTTCATAAATATAACAGCATTCTGCGCTCAGAACCTTCGCTGAAGTCTTATTTTTATCTGCTGAAATGTTGCTTCCTCTGCACACAGCTGTCTTCTGGCCCTCTTATACATTTGATATAACATATAACAACGGCTTTCAATGCTTAAGTAACAGCAAGTCTCAATACTAGCTGGAGCTGTGAAAACTCTGCATTTTCCATTGTTTGAAAGTCACAACAAAATCAAGGCATACTTAACATTTTCAAACATGGGAGCCTAAAGTTGAGTTCCTAAGTCCATATTCAAGTACCTGAGTAGAAGTGGCTTGATTTTTTTTCAAGGAAACACAGCACTCACAAATCCCATTGACGTCACCCTGGAAAAACAGATTTATTTTGGGGCGTCCAAATGTGGATTTAGGAGTGAGATTTTCAACAGCACCTAAATGATCTAAGAGCCCAGGTCCTCCAAATACTAAATTGCTTAAGTGACTGTTGAAAATCCCACTCTTAGAAGCCTAACTTTAGGCATTCAAGTTTGAAAATCTTATGTGCAGGGTCAATTTCTCTAGTTTGCCAGAACTTATGGGCAGTTCCTTGGTTCTTTCATTAAAACCCAATGATATTTTGGTATTGTGTGCTAGGAGATCTCTGATTAGAACTAAGAGCCTTACTGCTGGGTGGGCAATAATGCTGCAGGGATGGCAGCAGCGTAGGACGATGGTTGTGTATGGGAAGAAACAGCATCACCTTCCGTACAAAACTTTCAGGTAGGCCTGCCAACAGTGGGAGGGAAGGGGGCCGTTGTTCTGGGAGCTGGGGTTCCTACTAAGGCAGCGGCAGTGGTGGCCAGAGCCACGGGCCCTTTAAGTCCCCATTGGAGTGCTGCACACTCCATGCGACGCTCAAGTTTGGAGGTGGGGTGCACAGCACTCTAAGTGGTGTGAAGAGATGGCTGCCCCAACCCCTTCTCTTCCACCCAAGACCCTGACCCTTCCGGGAACAGGGAGCTGGCCCCTCCTCCAGGGTGCTCAGCGGTGGCCCTCCCTTGTTTTCAGGCATGTAAACCAGACTTCACGGGAAGGTGACACATTTTTTTATTTTAATCTAAGAGTTAAGCATTAGTATTCATTAAAAAAAATCTTAGTGCTAATCTTCCTGTTCGTTCTTTTGAAATGTAATAAGTTTAACGTTTTTTTCCTACTCCTATACAAGTTTTTAATATGCCTCCTACACCTCTTTCATTAAACACTCTTTGATTTACTAATGCGTAATATATGCTAGAAATCAGCTTACCTGATTGCTATCCATCATCTGGCATGTATTCTTCTCTTATCCTGCAGAATAGATTTCCAAATAAGTCTTAAATGGGACTAATGTGTGACAGAGGCTGGCATGGGCAGGACTTGTGCGTAGGATGAATTTCACCTAAATTTGTGTTGATACTAAGCAACCATCCTACTTGGAGCCCTGCCCAAGTACCTCAGTTCTTATCTTTCATATCCCCAGTATTTCTGTTACTAGCCTTTCCTGAGATTATCATCTTGTTGTAAGGCCACCAAGGGAGTAGGCTGAGTATACAAACTGATTTGTATTTGTAACCTAAGAGAAGAATCAAACATGCAATCCCAGGGGAGGCGGATTATGGTTTTGTGAGGCCTGGGGCCAGTCAAATGGCTGGAGCAGGTGGGGAAATAGTTGCTCCCATTTTTCTGACCGCTAGGCACAGGCACCTTTGGCCAAGTGGCTAATCCACCCTGAATCCCAGCGTGAAAGGCTAATTAACTAATTTGGTGTGCGCCTCAGCTCATAAAATAGCCTCAGTATAATAATACAAAGAATTCTGGTGTTGTCTTGCTGTGGTGAATCAGAAGGGATTTAACAATAAACTTAGAAATATAAAGCAAATGCATCATACAGTTGTAATGACTGCCATATTGGCAAAATTGAACCAGGCACCTCTGGAATGAAAAGCATTAGTCTCAACAGCTAGAGCTAAAGAAGCAGCATAACCAATAGGGACATGTAACAGATTCACAGTCTTTCTGGACTGGGAACAGATGAGGAATCCTGACTAGTGAGATGCACAGCATTAGTTGTGAAAATTAGTTAAAAAGTTGGTGAAAACAAAAGAGCTGAAATGTAGACTGAAGCCCAGGGGTTGGGGGATAGGATAAAGACACCCCAGCATCAGTGGGAGATTAATTCCACAAAGCAGGTAGGTATCGCATAGGGAAATGATCATCCAAAATTACCCATTTTGGTGATGTTGATGTGAAACTTGCATTGGTTAACCTCATTATGTGATGTGGAGAGTACCAGGAACTAGTGACTCTTTAGAAGTCCTTGCACGTTTAGTTCAAAAAGTGCTTCATGATATTTTTGGTCAGAAGCAATTTGTGTGGGCTTGCCACCCTGCGATTAGAAAATTGTTTCTTTGTGGTCAAATCTCATTGCTAACAAACAAACAAAGCTCAGGTTCATGCTTGTTTTCTCTGGTTTCTATGCTTCTTTATGCATAGGACTAGTGACCAGAGAGCATGACCTCTGCCATGACTTTTCCCAGAGCGCATGGCACAGATTTGAAATGTACAATGAACAACAGCCTGAGTCTGCTGAGAGTCACACAGAGCAAACACTTTACAAAAAGCTTCAACAAAAAATAATTGTCACCCAGTGTCAGAATCCAAACTGCCGTCTGCAGTATGATTTGATAAGTGTTAACAAACATAAACAACAAACCAAAATTAGAAATCAAAGAGTTTTAAACAGTCTATGCCCTTGTCTGCATTAGAAAACTGTGCGTTGAAGCACTCTTAAATTGAAAAAAAAAAACAGTCTTCCCTTAAGGAGATGCACAAACTTTTCTTATGCAGACAAGGCCAAAGTTTACCTTTACTTCTCATTTGCTTAACTTCCTCTTGGTTCTTCTGGTGTCATGGGTTAATTGGTTCTTTCATCATCATAGGCAATTTGACACCAGATAATTTTACTTATCCTGAATTTTTGCATAAGCCAGGTGGCGCTGTCTGTGGCATTTCAACCACTGGGTCAGTTAAGCCTGCTGAGAACAGGAATCCCTCTGTTTGGCCCATCTGCATTACAGATATTCCATTGGACATTATGTGGTCATAATGCATGACTTATATACCCATTTCATGTCTTGACAAACACACGCAAGCTACCCATCCAGAATTAACACAGAGGACACGTGAGCCACACCACCTTTGACCTCTGTGCTCTTTGAGTTGGGCCATGTCCCATTACGATCTTTGGTTAACATAAGTTATGTCAGCGCTTAGCTACCCCAGTGAGCATATTGCTTGTGCACAGGCATACTTGGCTGCCAGCACTGGTACTGCATGTGTTCCCCAGGCATTCTTGCATCCATACAAAGTGCAGTGCACCATGGGGAACTAACCCAGTGTGCCACGTGTTGCTGCCTGGAACATTGCCTTGTGGGACATGTTCACTCACACAGGGATCTCTGGGAGGGTGAGGGTCAAGTTCCCATCCCATAAGACCATCCATATCCCATAATTTTTGCATCAGTTCTTTTTTTTTAAAAATCTCACAAACCTGTAAGTCACTTTTGGGTGTCCACCATCTCTGACACGTGCCTGGAACCCACACACTTTTGCACTGTTTCAAGAACATTGAAAATACAGGAGACAGGAACCTCCACTATTTGCAAGCCTAGAGAAAGAATCACGACAGTGGGGGATATGATGGGTTTTTTTGAGCAGAGATTGTTAAAGGACATCATGAAATACTATTCCAGGTTGTTGGTGGTGTTCCCTGAACAGCTGCAGCAAATGGAATGCTACTTCTAGGCTTGAGAAACAAGCACCGACTGGTGGGAATCACATGGTAATGTACTGCAGAACTTTTGTATGTGGAAGGCCACGATCATGAATCTCTGTGCTTAGCTTTCTCCAGCCTTCCAGCACAGGGACACCAGAAGGAGCCCTGCAGTGGCTGGAGAAGCAAGAGTTAATAGCATACTGGAGGCTTGCAATGTTGGATTGCCACTGATTAGTGGAAAGTCATTTTGGAGTTGGGAAATCCACAGTGGGGGATATTGTCATGCACGTGTGTAGGCTCATTGATAGTCTCCTATTATAAAGGATTTAGACTGTCAGCAATTTGCAGTAATGGGGGTTCCTGAACTGAGAGGGGCTACAGACAGCATGTACTTCCCTATTTGGCACTGTCCACTTGGCCAGGTGAACAGTTAGATATACTTTTTCTATAGCTATGCTGGTGGATCACTGGGGGCACTTTACTGATATCGATGTGCGCTGGTCGGGGATGTTGTTTACATCTTTAAGAACACAAGACTGTTCAGAACGTTATAAGCAGTGGCAGTTTCCCCTGATTGGTAGATTATCATTGCAATACTAAAATGCTCTGAATGATCAAAAATATGGGGGGTGCGGTAAGAGGGATGGGGCAGCTTCCAGTTTCTGAGATCCCTGTGTGGCAGAGTTCACAATTGGGCATTGTGGGACAGCTGCTGGAGGACTGTTGTTAAGATTGACATAGGTCATGCCAGGATTACACGTGTGCTGTGTTGACCTCAGTAGGTGGACCATGGCTCAGCAGTGGTTGGGAAGATGCTTTCACTGTGGTGCCTTAAAGAGGCACTTAATCTATCACAGAAAAATGTGAGGTAGACATGTGCACAGCTATACTGACACAAAGTGACTAACATTGACCTAACTTTGTAGTGCAGACCAGGCCTTGTGCTACATCCATATCTGTATTTCTTTACCAAGGCCTTGTACTGTGTTTGCATAGGTGTAACTTATGCTCATAAGTGTCAAAACTGTACTCCCAGTATATGCTTACATTTATGTACTTTAAATGAGTAGCTGGTGAAAGAAAGTGTGAGATGAGTCTAGTGTTCTCTTTAAGCTCTTTATATATTAAAGAAAGTTTTTTCTCCCAGCCTCAACAGAGTCCCCAGAAGAGGAAGAGGCAGCCATGGCCCTGGTCGCTGGGGGGAGAGCTGGGCTTGCTTACCCCGAAAGACAAAGGAGTCGGTGAGTGTAGCGAGCAGGGGGCACCGCCTCCTAATGAGTCCTGAAAGTATATTTGGCCCTAGAAATCATTTATTGGGAAACAAAGGTGCTCTGAAAAGGTTGTGACGCTTCCTTTTCTCCTTCAATGAAAACAATCCCTACTCTTCTTTCCTCTCAATCCCATCTTCAGATTCAGATTTTCCTAGCAATCTGGAAGCAATCTGGAAGTCACTTATACCCATGCATCTACTTTATCAGACTGGTAGTGTATTATATGGTGTAAGTGACTCTATAAAGTGAAAGGCAGGGGAGGGAACAGGCCCCATGTTTCTATGGGAGTGTCTGCAATTTAAAGAGGTTGTTGATTTTGACAGCCTTTTAACTGTCCTTGACCAAATCCACTGTCAAAGGTTAGTGGCAGGTAAGACATCATCTAAAGATATGATTATGTAGGAAGAGATTACAGCACATTACAGGTATCTCACCACTAGCCTGAAAATTGACTTGAAGGTAATGCAGTGTAAAGCCATTACATACAACACCAGAACAGCTAAATGTAATTTTGAAAGTGCCTCTATTTTTACAATAGATTCACCTTCTCATAACGATTTTTTCTTTAAAACCGCAGATAGACCTGAGCTTAGACCCAAACACCTCCAAATCCTGGAAAACAGAGTAATTGTGTATGCAGATAGGAAGTTAGCCATACAAATTACTTAGCTACATGGGCAAATGCTACTTTACACTTGCAAATTTTGATTTTTATATGGGTTGTATGACAGCACATATGCTTTCCCACACGCACTAATTGTTTTTCCTTTTGAAAAACTGACCACTAAAATCTGTCTTGTCTCCTTTGTTTCTGAGGAAAGGATAATTAGGTACACAACATGCCCCCACATAAACATCTACACAGCAGTTAGAACAGCTCCTTAGGGAGATGGGTCTGATGACACAGGAATTGGAGAAGCCCTAACTGGAACTGCCCCCAAATCCTGTAAGAACTGAAGCATGTAACATGATCAAAATACTATATTTCCCTGTTGGCTTATAAAGTAGCCCACAAATAATAGGATAATCAAGTGAAATGTAGGCTTATTAGCCATCTATTTTCACACTCTAGTCAGCTTTAGAGTGTAGTAGAATCTTCTCCTTTGCAGCTTTTTGCATCTGGCACAGCCTGCATTTCTGTATCTCTTTGCCTAGCTGACTTTTTCAATCTCTTTTCAAATCTCATCTAAAAACATAGAATGTTTTCCTTTGTCTATGGTTCAATTCCTCTGCTATTATTTATTATTTAGCTAAGCTGTATGATTTAACTGTGAAGCACTCGCAGATATAAGTTGTGTAAAGGAAATCACGCTAAAGTAAAGTTGTATCAAATATAAAACATTTATTAGGACATGACATAATGCGTGCAGCAGGTGTTATTTGCTTCTAATCCAGCTCAGAGGCAGGACACAATCAGGACCCGTTTTGTGGGGTTATTTATTATGAATGATTTATACAGGTTTGCCAATTACAGTGCAGAAGAACAGAGCTGCAGCTCCTTTTGTCTCATAGCTGTACCTCTCCCCATATAAAACACTTGTCTCTGTCTGTTTAGAGCACTTAGTATTATTGCTTTGAAATGTGCAGGAACATTCTGGCCTTTAGAACTAGTGAAAATTCAGTGTTTGGGGTGCAATAGATTTTGAGGCAAATCATTTGTTCACTATAACTTGTTATGGCAACAATCCCCCTACCTGGAGTAAGTGTTACACACCAAATATCGTACAGTGTGTAAGAGCCCACGGTCAAGATAAATTGTCTTAATAAACTCTTTTGCATTTGGTCAAGAGATGACAATAAACTTTGGTGTGTGTGAATTGGCAGGTGGATCAATAATCTGCTTCCTAAACCACTCAGAATTACATTAAACCACTCAGAAGGAAAAAGCTTATTGCAGTTAATCTCTCACATTAAAGTCAGATGAAGATCCAACTCTGATATACAGAAAGGGGAGTTTCAGGGATATGCCAAATAGTTTGCCAAGAAAAATATTATATTTCTTAATTTATACTTTATTAAGATTTAACTTGACTACACTAGTGAAGAGGGGGAAGCGTTAGGTAAGGAGAGCTTAGGGTGGAACACAGTAGCTGTCTAACAGTTGTTTAGGTAATACAATTAGATTACTTATACAGCAAAACAAAAAGTGATGGGCAAAATCTGATGCTGAATAGTCATGGGCTACGTCTACATTGCGCTCTCTTGCGCAAGAACATATGCAAATGATACGTGGTGATGAATATCGCTGTGCCACATTTGCATACTTAATGAGCCACCATTTTGTGCAAGGGGCTTTTGCGCAAGAAGGAGCAGTCTACACTGCTCCTTCTAGCACAAAAACTCACTCTTGCGCAAGAGCCGTTCTGCCACTTATTTTCAGGTAGAACTGTTCTTATGCAAGAGGGGGTTTTTGCGCAAGAAGGAGCAGTGTAGACTGCTCCTTCTTGTGCAAAAGCCCCTTGCGCAAATGGTGGATCATTAAGTATGCAAATGAGGTGTGGCAATATTCATCACCATGCCTCATTTGCATATGTTCTTGCACAAGAGAGCTCAGTGTAGATGTAGCCTTAGTGTAAATAGGCAGTAGCTTCAGTGAGGCTGCACAGGTATAACAGAGGGCCAATTGTAGCCCTTTAAAGCCATTTTATAGCTAAAGAGAGACTGCATTTTAGGCCAAATGCTGATGGAGTTGTGTTATAGGGTGCGGGATATACTAGATATTGAGCACCGCTTCAGCCAATTTAACACTGGCCACTGGCCTGGCCTGTCTTAAGGATGGAAGGGATAGAAAGGTAGGAGAGGAGGCTGAAGGACCATTGTGTCTGCTCTGTACTCAGGACATGCAGAATTTTGTAGGTAGTTGAGGAGTTTATTCAGTTGAATTCTCCATCCCTATATAGCCCTGAAACCTGATGGGCCCTGTTTCTCTGACCACCTGACTTGTTCAGTCTCCATGGGTGATTGGCAGCTGAGGAAGAATCAGCAATATGTG